TGAAATTTGATCTTCAGCTGTTAATATCTTTTAGAAATTATCGTCAAAAAATTTTCAATATTTTTCTTGTACTCCCCAAGTGAGCCTCTATCACCTCTTAAAAGGAATGACGCCAATTTTGAATCAACGATATGGAGAAGATCGAAAATCTCAGAAGTCGAACTTCGAACTTTCGCTTGCCTATTATTCGGTTTGTTTATTCTTGTTCTTGACACTACGCAGTAGTTTACGAGTTTTATTGAAGATTTTTCTTGTTTTTTTTCAATTCGATATTTTATTTCCACTGACTGATCTTTATCGTCACTGAGCACTCATCACAAATATGTAACGGAGATGAATGAACAAATACTAACACTAATAGAAAACTAACATCTATCGCTATTTCAAGTTGTAAAATTTTCAATGCGATTTCTAATCGTTTGATACAATTTATTAAATTTTCAACTTTGTTCTGAAGCCGTCTCTGTCATCAATATTTCAACTCTGTAATTTACATTTCAAACTGTTGCCAACCTTTCATACTGATAGCAATCACTCTAAAACTTAATTAATTAATTGTATTTAAACAATTTAATTTCGATCAAATACTTATCTGGCAATTGCTATACCGTGATTCCATTGCTCTAAGCTTAACTAATTTCGTTATAAAACTTTTAGTGAGTAATTGCACTTATTACTAGTTATACCCTTTAACTTAATTAAAAGTTGGAATAAAATATATATTGAAATAAGAAAACACAGCAAACAGTGATTAATTAATTTACAAAGTAAAATTCGTAACATAATAATATATCTCCTGCAATATTACAAAGTGTAAAAATTGCAAAAGGGAACTTCAATACTGAATTAATATCGATCTATACATATACCTAACACCAAAAACTAGACGAAAATAATGTATTTTCTTTATAGTATTAAGTGAAAAGACTATTAAATTCTTAAATTGCTAGTATACTTAGTGAAAATAAATAATTAATCGCCTTAAAAAAAACAAGTAAACTAGCGCATGTTTACTGGGTTAAAACAATGTTAATGGATACTGGCTAAATCCTGATTATTTCATCCATGGTATTTTCATGTGACTGAAAACAATTAATGCAGGTAATTTCTTACACTGAAAGAGAGTAATCCAATCATTACATTACATAATTTTCCTTATAATGTAATGAATATGTTACAGTGCACTAAATCATTTACGATATCCAACGCAAGTGTACAGTTAGTCTAAATTTATCACTAGTTTTTCATCAAATTCAACCGTCTCATTTTCTGGTAACTATTAGAAAATAATAAAAAACGAGTCGATGGTTTTCGTTAATGAGAACTTCTATTTTAAGAACCAGACCATAAACACTTTTTTCATGACCAACATGTAATTTTACTTCTGA